AACACTTTCTAAACACCTCATGTATGAGGTGGGTTAATAATATATTACAATAATATTTTTTTTGTGTTTAAAAAGAGGAGAACGAGTTGGATTCTCTCTTTGCAAAAACACTTTCTCTTACGCCCTCCCTCTCAGTAACGTTGAGCCCTCTTTATGAATTAAAGAACGCAATGAACTCCTTCACTCTAGCCGAATTTTATCGAAAGTTCCCTCTCAAATATTATAGGTAAATGATCTCATTATCCTGAAAAATAGTCTGTTCACCATTTTTATACTGTAATTTTATGCGCATATGGTATCATTTTTTTTCTGTTAAAATTATTATTTTTGTTTATTAGAAATTTACACATTGTAAATTATTAAAAATAAAATTTCTGCCTATTATTATGACTTTTAGGCACTGTAAAATTTATGCGTAAGTGATGCCATTTCTGGTAAAATCATTATGTGAAAAATTGATATTTGTGCAATTAATTATAATACTGTGAGATTTGCGCATTTTTGCATTTAATTGTATTTTTGTTTGTCTATGAATTTTAGATACTATAAGTTTTACCTATTCTTGTAAAATAATTAATTATGAAATTACATTCCATAAAATTGTAATATTTTTGTGTTTAACCTTGGATTTCTATAAAAGCTCTTAAATTGATAATCAACTGCCTATTGGATTCCATTTCAAATATACCTGTTCGATCTGCTACCTTTCTGCAATTTTTATCCAAATTGTTTGATTGGTTACTTACCAAATATTTCAATGAAAGTAATTGTTTCAATTGCTTCAAGTGAATTCCTGTTAATGATTTCAATGATACTTTGAATATACGATGGTGCTGCTTTCTGATGTTAAAGAGTTTTTGAGATAATTTAAGTATGTGTGGACCTATTCGGGACCCCGATAGGGACTATTTGGACTCATCCGGTACGCCGGTGAGGTACGTTTAGACCTGCAAGGATTGTTTGGACCTATCTGGTTATGCTGTTAGGGACTATTTGGACTCGTCGGGACGCCGATGAGGTATGTTTGGACCTGCAGAGATTGTTTGGACCTATCTGGTTACACCGGTAGGGGCTATTTGGATTCATCCGGGACGTCGGTGAGGTATGTTTGGACCTGCAGAGATTGTTTGGACCCATCCGGGACGTTGGTGGGGTATATAGGTGACCTACTTGGGACGCCAGTAGGGTATTTTGTGAAATCCTTTGAGTTATGCATTGCGGTTAAAATATTTATATGCATTTCAATCATTTGGATTATGTTTAATTGTGCATTTCTGAAAGTGAAATTGTTATCCATAAATGCTTTTTGCTCGCATTGTTTCTAATAGACCTCCCTTTTTGAAAATGGCAACATTTTCCGACTACGATTATTTTTGAGGACTATGATGACACCTACTGAGTAGCCAAACTCATCAAACTATGGTAAAAAATTTTCAGGGTAATTGCAGCCTCCCTAGTTGAACGCACAACATGACCAACTTTGGAAGAAGTCATAGTTATGATGAAATTTTCTCTTTGTGACTTTTGTTCAAATTCACTATTGTAAATTTTATCCTATCAACAAATGTATATCTAAACCTTCATGTTAATACTAGTTATGAGTAGACTTTGTACAGACTCTTAGAAATGGAAAAAATCTGTTTTAGTGCAATAAATGGTGAAGTAGAAAAATTTCGTTTTGTTAAAGATAGACTGTTACACTCAGGGATTCCAGTGTTATAAATCTTGGGGTGTGACAGCAACTAACTTTCTGGTCCACTGGATTGTGCTTGCGCAGTCCCTTCAATTTGCAGCAGTCCCCACTCTGGACTATATAGCCTCGCTCCATTAAGCAAAGCATGGGCTTCAGCTGTTGTGGCATAGCAGGTACTGACAGGCCCCAAATATGACAATAGAACGAGGCCTTACAGCACCTTGAGGTGGAGGATTCCAAATAGATGGTTGACACCGAGAGGTGCAGGTTTTACCGTGAGCGATCATCCTCCAATATGTTAGGAAATCAACTACTGAGACAATAACTCTTTCCGAATACTTGCGCAACCGATCATATTGGCCTTTGATTTTTCCCTATCAACGCATCCACCATGGAATAATGTCCCTTGGAAATTTGTCAATTATGTTCAAGCCAAACAAACTGCTGAATAGCCATAATGGACATGCGCCAAAAAGATAGCCTCATATGGAGAGGGACAGGTTAAACCAGAATCTGAAGAGGCTTTCATGGAGTCCAAGGACCCCGCGATACTTATAATAGCTGCTGCAGTATTTAGAACCCCCACAATACATATTATAGCTGCTGCAGTACTAAGGAGACGATTTTTGCTCTCGAAGCAAAATGGCAAGGAGCATGATAGCAAAATGAACTAAAATTCTTGAGTTTAGGTTGAAACATAATGACATTCATTTTGACACTATTCTGCTTGACAGCATTTCAACTAACATAAAAAGACCTACATACAAAATAAAAAACAATAGATAGGAGTATAACTTGTACTTTATATGCCCTTATTTCAGATAAATTACAACTGATCATGTAATGTTAAAAAAGGTAAGGTCTGCTACATTTGTATTTTTAGTGAACCCAGAGTTGGTTGAAACACATATTTGTTAATACACCTTATAACCTCAATCTAGCTCTTCTTGGTAAAAGAGCTTCTGTTCAAGTTTCTGAAAACCGAAATAAAATTCAATACAAGCTAATTGTGACCATCTATCAGTGTTCTCCCACCACCAATAAGCATTCAAACTTGGTCATGAAATTAGTCAGTGAACGATTTTGTTTAGACTTCTTTTAGAAGAAAAAGAAAACACAGTTCTTATCCGAGACTCAAACAGGGGAATTTAATTAGCAGCCATCATACATCTAAAAACATAATTAACAATTATTTGTATCAAGAAAGGGAAAACTGCACATTCAAGCCACGACATACAAAGAATGAATAAGAGTCTCAATTTCACATGTGCTGGAACAAAACTAAGAATTATTCCTTGTACAAGTTTTCACCAAGAGAGATATATACCTCAAAATACAGAGCACGATCGGTTAAAGTTAGCTTTCCAGGCCATACTATGTTATTCTCCCATTTTAAAACGGGCCTCTTTCTACTAGAACCTAAGCATAGAACTGCTTCACGAGAAAGCTTTTCCTTGACATTCTCCTGATTCTGGTAGGATTCCCTTCCCTTGTATACCCTGCATCATATAGAACACAACTCTTGGACAAATTCCCAGAAATAAACTTTCAAGCTACATAGCATTCCCAAGGTAAGGATGTTGTTATTTCTAGAAGTCTACAGGATATAGATTGGTTTCTATAGATAATTTGAGTCTTGCAAATGAGTGTCCGACTCTCTAAACCAAAACCTCTTCACATAGCATTCCCAAGGTAAGGAGGTTGTTATTTCTAGAAGTCTACAGGATATAGATGGTTTCTATAGATAATTTGAGTCTTGCAAATCATGCCCTCCAGTGGATGTCTGTATGACTCAAATATCTCCAACACATTGATGATCCCCGACGATAACTGATCTATGTGTAAATTAACAGAAAATTTTTGCAATACTTTGATGCTTGAATGCCATGCCTTATCTCAATGTTCCCAATAACTTATAGCCAAACGCTAACGCTCCCCCTATAAGTTATTTCTATTACATACCCCATATGCTGTTTAGTATAGTGACAGATACTTCAATGCCAGACTCACAATAGGAAAAAAACTATGGGCATAACCCAGAAAATGGAGACAGTGATTTCCAAATTAATGCATAAGGGTTGCCACACAGGGGATCAAGGGCTCCATAGGAGAATTGTTGGACAAGACTAAATTTTCTGAGGGCAGAAGCCCCTGGGTAGAAAGTTTCTTAGAATACAGTATGTCAATGAAGCTACCTTTTATCCGAGTATAGTGATTGTAAAACATGTAATGCAAAGGACCCTAATAGTATAATAAGACCGTATGTAGATTGACAAACAATAACACTGTCTCAATTACTCTGTGCTGGTCTGTAGAAGTGTAATCACCATTTATGGTGCCTTAATACAAATAGATGCTTCAGGGAGTTCTGGTCACAGGATCATCTACATCAAGAATACAATTAAATTCTAGAATTCAAGAATAATTTTGTAGGGCATTATGCATGTCTCCAAAGAAACACAACAAATTGTACCTGACAAGCTCAGAGAGGAATGAGCTCCACACGCTCAGTGAGAGGACAGATTCATCTCCTACAAGAGCGTTGAATAGATGATGTGCTGTAGACCAATCAGCTACTCCTGATATTGCGGGAGCAATACGAACAAAAGCTTCTTCGCCAACAAGCTTCAATCCGAGGTCCAGAAGAGAAGATGGTTCAACTTAGACACAGAATCACCAAAAATACATTTTTCTACAGAATATTAGATACTTATCTTACAAGATAGATTTGCAACACAAAATGGTAACTCTAATGGATGATAAGAACTACCACAAAGATATGAATTAAAGATGGAGATTATCTCATTTCTAATATTTAGATTAATGTTGTGTCAGAAATAACTGGAGATAAATAAAGTTCTCTCAACATACACAAGAAATTGCCAAAGCAATAGAAACAAAAGCTTCATCGCGAACAAGCTTCAATTCGTGGTCCAGAAAAGAAGATGGTTGAACTTAGACATAAAATCACCGAAAATACATTTTTCTACCGTATATTAGATACAAAATGGCAACTCTAATGGATGACAAGAAATACCACAAAGATATGAATTAAAGATGAAGATTATTCATTTCTAATATTTGGATTAATGTTGCGTGAGAAATTACTGGAGATAAATAAGTTCTCTCAACACACCACAAACACTTCTCTCTGTTTTGTTTAAAGTGACTTTTTATATTGCACGCAAAGAGATTTACATCTTTCTAATTGGTGTAGCTATATCTGTGGGCTGCCACATAGTTAAAAAGCAAAAACACCGAATCTATGTACAATAAAAAGAAACAAAGAAGCTAGAAATTCAAAGGAGGTCCTGGTTAGGGCTGATGTCAGTTCACTAGAAAACTGGTGCTAAACACCCCTTCCATAGCTAGGGAATCAGCAGCCTCATTTGCCTCGCATCAGGCAGGCTTATATGAGATCCCGTTGTTGTTGGAAATGGTGAAGATTTGGTCAAGCACCTATTCAAGGTCCGAGGGGGATGGGGCCTTCCTTAAGGCACATCTGATGACATTAAAAGTGTCCCCATCTACTTTGAGGGAGGGACCCTAACTGCCATCAAACAGAGAACCTCTAAAAGTGTGATCACCTCTTCATTTGTAGAGTTCAGTACTCAAATGGGACCCAAATAAAAAAGTAAGCATACTGCAAAGTGGTTTGTAAAAGGTACCTCCACCCTCGAGGGACATGCATTGCCTAAAGAGTAACTGTCAATGCGAGTTGATGATCCCAATGCGAGGAGTCCAAAGGTTAGATCTACTGACTTCGATCAGTCTAGTGGCTAGGATAATCATCCAAGTTTGAAGAAAGTCAGTTGAAGACCAACCAACAGTGGTCTCCATCTTCTCCTTCAATGTGTCCACTTGCATCTCCTCACTTTTGAATATTGATTCAAGCCATATGGATCATACTGTGGCCATAAAGGTTGCACAACATAGGAAGAGGCCAGTCAAAAGGAAAGACGGTGAGAAGTATGCCAACGACAGCTGTTCTACACTTGTTGGTCACACCCATAGCCATACAAAGACACCCAACAAAGAGGCCCACAGCTGGACAGCAACCGAGCCATGCATAACTTAGCGATCCATAGTCTCATCTGCTTCCTTGTACATGACAAATCTGCTAGGAAGTGGGATTCCTCTCCTTGAGATTTGTCAGTGGTGAGTACTTTCATGGAGATCACCAGCCTGGATTTTGCGGGGAACAGGGGTAATACAGGTCCTGTATGCAGTTACTGGGCTGCAATTCCTGGCAGTTAATTCATTATAAATGGAAGAAACTGAGAAGATGCCAGATGACATTATCTCTTCCTGACTCATTATGTATTGGCCGTTGAGAAGGTCTAAAACTGCTTCAAGTGAGGGATTTCGGAGTCCCAAAGATTTCTTCTACAGCTCATACCAAACTAATTGACCCCAACACAGTTCGTGGGATTGGTTTATTTTGGTAAGTGTGTGTGGGCACAGACATGCACACACGTGTCTGTGTGTACAGCAGATATGAGCACCTCATAGGATTGCTCAATAGAGGCATTTTGATCTGTGGTCAGTCGAAGAAGTAAGGGAATAGGTGTTCTAAAGTCAGTCTCCAGCCCACTAGTTCTTTCACAGTTTCGAGCACCCATCTTTGGCATGAGATGCATTCTATGAGAGAAGCCTTCATAAAAAGTGGATATGCCCTGCCAAGCCCAGGTACTCGAGCACCTGTGGGGACTTCGGAAACCAGCCTGACCCGACCAGGCGATATTTACTCTGAATCAATGTAATTAAATTCGGTTCGCTTCGCCCGAAGCGGGTGAAGCCTTCGGTTTTACACACTCAACCAAAACGAAGCAAATAATGTACACTGAAATCTTGTGTGTTTCGGTAGAAAAAGACATGATGTTGACAAGTGTCAACCAAACAGGCGAAAGCTTTGGTGGATTGGACATTGTACATATTGCATAATTTTAATGATGGTGTGGACTGGTTTTTTACCATTTGTTGTACTAATCAACATTAAATCACCAGGATGTTGTCCATAATTTCAAAGTTAGTCGATATTATATTTTGATATTTTTCATTTGTAATAAACTTATTTATTATTAAATTTATTATTTTTATTTTTAATTTTTTAAAATTTATAAAAATAACCATTTTAAAAAAAACAACCGAAGCCTTCCCCCGAATTAGCTGAAGCACCGAATTGCTTCACTTTTTAGACCAAACCGAAGTAGACTCCCAAGCGAACCTGACGACATTACTCTGAATAACACACTGCCAAAGGCCACTTTGTGATGCAAGGCACCATCACCACTTGCTGAGTAAGGCCAGGTTGCACTCTTTAAATTTCCTGATACCTGGCTTCCCCCTCCCTCTCTCTTAGGCTACAAACAAATCCCACTTTGCCATCTGGACTTTCTTTGACCCTGACCAAGAGATGTCTCTCATAAGGCACTTAAGCAAGTTAATAAGCGACATAGGCCATCCTAAAAAGAGACATTCAATAGACAGGGATATTGGACAGAGTAGCTTTAAAAATCATGCTTCCAAATGATGAGTCATAAGAATGTTGTTTTCCATGCCTCCCATCCGATTGTGATTTTCTTGGTTTTCCGAGGCAGAGTGGTGGACCAAGGTAATTGTTGGTGAGGGGTTCTTACAGCCAAGTCTTTTAGCAACAATTCCTCATCATCTCGGCTGACAAAGTCCCCCACCATCTTGGTCTTAGCCTTATTTATCTTGAACCCGGTGGACTATAATTGTAATGGACCTTATATGTATGTTACATGAGTTTAAATGGCCATATCAATAATAATAGTTTGTGATACAGAGTTTCTGAAATCACTAGATGAATAAAAGACAAATGGAAACAACAGCTCTTATTTTTTAAATAGGCATATGATGGCCAATATTTTAGTAAGACTGGGAGCAAGGATGAGACTCTTCTTTTGAATGATTAAATCCAATCAAGCAAGCCAAGCCATGCACGGTAAGGAAAGGGATCAATGGCAACTCCGCAAGCCGGTTCCTGAGCCATAGTATTGAATTATGCTCAATCACCCAAGTTGTCAAAGACTGCAGTGAAGTTTTATTTGAGTAGGAGAGGCCATGAAAAAGTTGTTATTAAGTGTATGATTATATAGAAATCTTGGATGCATTTGAGGTAAGTTGTGGTCCAAGGTCGTCGTAATTCGGGTTCCTTGTATTCAATCGAGAAAAAAAGTTCCAAATTGTGCATCCTAGGACTTGGCTTTATACAATCAACAAAAAGGTGCCACCAGACCTTCTCCATTCTTCAACCCTTGATTCGAATCGGGCTCATAATTCATTTCTTGATCATCTCATGAGCTCGAGAACTATAGCATAAGAACAAGAAAGTCGAAAAGATACAGAAGCAAAGGATCAAAGGTTAGAGATGGATGATGGAAAAAATGAGGGAGAAAGGGGTTCGCCTGGGCATAGACCCCTTCAACAAGGGGAAGAAACCTTGCAGACACCCATTGACAAGAACCGAAAAGTACAATAACCCTTTACACCCAAAAATCAGCCAACTTCACCAACTCCCAGACCCCATAAACTTTAGTACCTGGTCCAGGATGCACCAATATACATGAAGAGAGGCCTTTTCTCATTCAAGTTGGAGTTTTGGACCGGTTTCAAGATTGAATATGTTCAAAGCTATTACCGCCCCATCTAAAGTTTGACAATCTTTCACAAAGGCACCAGAGTTGAGTAAACCACTAAACTAAGGACCTCTCAAAGGCTGGAGGCTAGGACTTCCGCCAGGATTTTACAAGAGCTGTTAAGGAGCTTAATTCATTTTATAAACTGTTAGAGAAGTAAATAATAAAATGTCTTTTGCTCAGTAAGCAAAAGCTGTAATACTTATCTAAGATAATTACACTGCACAAAAAAAACCACATTTTATGAGGGATGTATATCCCAGGTCAACATGTCCAAATCCAAAAAGAAACAGACAGTTATGGGTTTAAGACAGTATATCATTGGATTGATTGAGACAACAGTTTTATCGAGGCAACATGCTCATGCATAACTACTAAGAATCAGTTTCATTTATCAGTTGGGTCTGAACCATGATAATACTACTTTATTACCATAAATTCTTGTCTTCCAGGGCTAAACAAAGCTTTTAATAATGCTTCACCGTAAATGCAAATAACAACTTTTTTTTTTTTGATAAGAGTTAACTGTATTGCTACAAAAAGTTGTTGTACATTGAGTGTTTAAACCAAGAGTCCCTACTTGCAAATAACAACTTAGTGATTCATTCGTTGAATCTCAATGCATGGCAAAGGTGTCAACCTGTATTGAACTAGTCATTGAAGAACTGGCAGTAGGTTCACCATCTGACCTATAAGGGTGTTCCCATGCAAGCATAGTTATAAACATAAGCCTCTGAAATGCAGCATCCTGTAATACACAGAAGACATTGTTCAAGACCTTCCATTGAAAAATCATACGAATAAAATGGACACACCAAGAAAAGGAATTACACATGTGAATCCTATGAGTAGCTGTATAACATTATTATTATCATCGAAAGAAGCATTTTGATTCAAATTTGTAGACTGCAGAAGACCATCCAAGAAGCCTGATATTCCTTACAAAGGAAAATATATAGAAATAGTAATTAATGTAAGCCATCCACTCTATGCAAACTGTATATGCAAACAAAATTATTGTAGTGCATAAAATTAAATAAAATAATGAGAGAGAAAAGCAAAACAAAAATAAGCCACACACCAACAAAATAGTAATCATTTTTGCAACAATGAACTATGCTCCGTAGTCCATACCATGCCAGTCTATAGACTCAAACCAGTGCCCGGAGGCCAGTGCTGGGACATTAAAGGCTACAAATTAGAACATGAAAGGATACTTTTGTTCCCACAGGATCAACTCTAAGATGCATCAAACAGGTGAAGAATCAATATCCCTATGAGGTTCCAAGTGCAAGGTGCCATATAGTTAAGCGAGGCCTTGGAGAAGTAACCTTTGTCCATATTTATTTTTACTAAATGACCATAAGAAGAATATCACAGAAGTAACCTTTGTCCATATTTATTTTTACTAAATGACCATAAGAAGAAGGAAAATACAATGGACAGTACAATTATAAATTACACCTTTTCACTTACTAAATATCCTTCTCTCTAAACTCCCCCTCAAAGTAATGTGGGTGATCAACAAGTATCAGTTTGTGCAAAAGGAGATCATGGCACTTGCTCGGATTGTTTTGGTGAACATTGCCGCAACTTGGTTAACTGAAGGACTATATGGAAGAATTAGTTCACCCTTTTGAAATTGTTCACGAACAAAATGACAATTAACTTCATTATGTTTGGTCCTTCCATGGAGGAACGCATTATTAGCAAATATAAAGTTGAAGTTGGAGCAATAAGTTGAATGCCCTAAGTAGCTCTCTCTAATCCATGATGTTGCGATTCTTTCACTCTACAACAACATTCTGTTCTGGTCTATGAGGGCGTGACCCTTAATGTATGATTCCACAATCTGATAATAACTCTAGAAACGTCTGTGACTAACTGATGGAAAAAGAGATATAGGAAATACAATAAAGAGAATAAAGTTAGGTGCATGAGAGAGAGAGAGAGAAAATAATGATCAATCATATGTTTTATATTATTAATGAGCAAATTTATAAAAAATGCCCTTGTGAGAGTTTATCAACCGACGATTAACCCTGTAGACTCAATTATTCCATTTCTATCCCTAACTTACCGTTGTACTAAAAACACTCCCCCTCAAGCTAGAGCATATATGTCAATCATACTTAGCATGACAGCTATATTTTACAATCTATCATGGGCAACATCTTTAGTATAGATATCTGCTCGTTCTATATGACGTGAGGAGTACAAATAATTTTGGCTGCGATATTATCCCTTATGAAATGATAGACTACCTCAATCTGTTTCATCCTCTCATGAAAGATAGGGTTGAGGTCGAGGTGGTAGCACCACCTGACTCAGCCACCGGTCTCGGTTTCCATTTCTACCAATGCTAACCATTTCAAAAACTACTAACGGTTTCAAAAATTGCTAACCCAGTAACCCACTACTAACCGTTGATGTTAAAAAAAAATTACAGGGTTCTTAGCAATGTAAATGGCTGCTTCATTGTCACAATAAAGGGTCATATTATAACTGAATTTTAACTCCTAGATCAGCCAATATAGTTTTTGTTGGAATAATGGCCTTTCAAGGCCTTAAAACCAAGACTCTCTTACTTAATAGGAGTAAGTAAGAAAACATGATTCTAGGTGCTTCGCATGCTGAGGCCTAGAATCATATACCTCGAGTGCATGAGGGAAAGAGTTTATATAAGTGAGTGAGAGAGAGAGAGAGAGAGAGAGAGAGAGAGAGAGAGAGAGACGACC